GAAACATGTTTCTATACATAATGGGACTTCAAAGAAGGAATAGATATTGGATTAGACAGAATACTTACATTAAGTTTACTATAAACTAATTATCATAGGCTAAGTTGTGAAATGATGACATAGATAGTGAGTTGTAAATATATATTTGAAGAGAAATAAGTATAATGAATTGGAATTGTCCAGATTTATCAAAAGAGGCATGGACTTGAAGGGAGAATTGAATTAGTAGGAAAGAAGAGATTTGGGATCAATGGGATAAGGAATGGTGATGGAAAATGACGTATTTTGTGAGGAATTGAGCAGACCATTAATGAAGGAAGTTCTGGACAGTAAGGCTGAGAAAACGAGCCAGACCAAGACTTTGAGCTCAGCTACCAATTGTGTGACATTGAGGAAGAATGGCATCTAACCTTATTTGTACAATGGTAATAATAGCTACATTTTTGCTTTTTCACAAGGTTTCTTGAGGCATCAAATGAGTCAAAATGATTCTGAAAGAAGTAAGAAGACATAAGCGTTAAGAAATAGTATGATGCAGGGGCGCCTGGGTGGCTCAGTCGGTTAAGCATCCGACTTGGGCTCAGGTCATGATCTCATGGTTTGTGAGTTCGAGCCCTGCGTTGGGCTCTGTGCTGACAGCTTGGAGGTTGGAGCCTGCTTCAGATTCTGTGTCTCCCTCTCTCTTTGCCCCTCCCTGCTCATGCTCTGTCTCTCTCTGTCTCTCAAAAGTAAATAAATGTTAAAAAAATTAAAAAAAATAGTATGATACAAATTGGAATAATAGAAGAAAAAGTGTTGGAAGGAAATATATCCAAATTCACTGCACTTGCATTAAGATGATGTGACTATGAGTGAGCTTTATTCCTAATTTTCTCTATATTCCAAATTATCATTGAAGAGCATATATTAATCAAAAATTCATTTCATTCAACAAATATTATACTAGGTGCTGAGAAAAAAAGAGTGAATAAAAGAAATAAGATCTGAGCTCTCAAGGGGTTTAGGTCTTACTAGGCAGAGACAGACACAAAACAGTGCAGCTACATAAGATAATTTCAGATAACTAGTGCTGTGATAGTGGTGTATTGATGGAGTAGGATGTTGCTGCTAGACAGAGGAGTCAGGGGAAGTCTCTATGAAGAGAGCAGAGACCTGTTTGAGCAAAGACCTAAATAGTAAATAGGTTAGATGCTGAGCTGGGAAGAAAATTCCCAACATAGATTGCTGAGTTGGGAAGAAAATGTTGTAGACAGTGGGTCAAGCAGCTGCAAAGGCCATAATGCAGAATGAGCTGCTTGTGCTCAAAGGACAGAAGGAAAGCCAGAGTGGCTGGAACATAGTGAGCAAAGAGGGTGGTGAAAGTGAAGCCAGTTACACAAGGTCAGATCATGAATGACCTTTGAAACCATGGTATGAAAACTGGATTTTATTGTCAGTGCACTGATAGGACATTGGGATATTTCTATAACAAAACAAACAAGAATATACGATAGGAAAAATACTGTCTCTTCAACCAGTGTTGGGAAAACTGGATAGCAACATGCAAAAGAATGAAACTAGATCATTTTCTTACATCATACGCAAAAACAAACTCAAAATGGATTAAAGACCTAAATGTGAGACCTGAAGCCATAAAATTCCTAGAAGAAAACATAAGCAATAATTTCTTTGACATCGCTGTAGAAACATTTTTATAGATAAATTTTATAGATATAGATATATCCAATAAAGGGTTAATATATAAAATATATGAAGAACTTATACAACTCAACACCAAAGAATTTATAGATAAATCTCTTCTAGCAAGGGAAACAAAAGCAAATTAAACTATTGGGACTTTATCAAAATAAAAAGCTTCTGCATACTGAATGAAACCATCCACAAAACAAAAAGACAGCCCACTGAATAGGAGAAGATATTTACAAATGATATATCCAATAAAGGGTTAATATCCAAAATATATGAAGAATTTATACAACTCAACACCAAAAAAAAAAAAAAGTCCAATTAAAAATGGGCAGAGACATGAACAAACATTTCTCCAAAGAAGACATCCAGATGGTCAACAGACACCTGAAAAGATTATCAACATCGCTAAACATCAAACACAAGACAAAACCACAATAAGATACCACCTCACACCTGTTAGAATGGCGTAAATAAATTAAAAAAAAAAAAACACAAGTAAAAACAAGTCTTGGCATAGATGTAGAGAAGAAGGAACCCTCATGCACTGTTGGTGGGAATGTAATTTGGTGCAGTCACTGTGGAAAACAGTATGGAGGTTCCTCAAAAACTTAAAAATATGGTTACCATATGATCCAATAACTCCACTACTGGTGTTTACCCAAAGAATACAAAAACACTAATTTAAAAAGACATATGTACCCCAATGTTTACTGCAGTATTATTTACAATAGCCAAGATATGGAAGCCATCCAAGTGCCCATCAGTAGATGAATGGATAAAGAAGGTTTGTGTGTGTGTGTGTCTGTGTGTGTGTGTGTGTGTGTGTGTGTAAAATATTGCTGTGGAATATTATTCAGCCATAAAAAAGAATGAAATCTTGCCATTTGAAACAACATGGAGGGACCCAGAGGGTATAATGCTAAGTGAAAAAGATCAGTCAGAGAAAGACAAATACCATATGATTTTGCTCATATGTGGAATTGAAATAACAAAACAAACAAAGAGAAAAAGAGACAAACAGAAAAACAGACTCCTAAACACAGAGAACAAACTGGTGGCTGCCAAATGGGAGGTAGGCAACGTGGGCAAGGGGATGGGTGAACTAGATACAAAAGATTAAAAGTATACTTATCATGATGAGCAATGAGTGATGTGTATAATTGTTGAATCATTATACTGTACACCTGAAACTAATATAACATGTGTTAACTATACTTGAGAAATAATTAATTAGTTAATAAAAGACACGGGTATTTTAAGTAGAGAGATGGAATGATCTGTGTTTTTGAACAATATTTTATATATGTGTGTATGTATGTACATATATGTATATTTAATATACAAATATAGGTATACATATGTATATATGTGTGTATATACATAAATTGAAATTTAGCTGCTAAATGATAAAATGAATTCCAGTGTGATTTCATGTCATTACCTGATCTGCTGAAGTCTAATCAAATAGGTCTAATGAATTAAAAGGAGTCATTATGGTCATATGTGGTCTTTCCAGCATTAGACATTTGATGTCATTTCCTGAAGCTTCTACTAGTATGTTAGAGCATTGGTAACATATTTAAATAGTGTTTATCACATTCTGCACAGTAGGGTGAAGATAAACACCAGGATTGTTGATTGAAGACCCCAGTATTCTATGTCTATTCCAGCTCCCTCCTTAGTTTCCTATGTTATTTTCTTTTGCATTGTATTTCCTGAAAAATAAAAAGGAGCAGTGGTGCATATGAGAAATAGATGTTAAAGAGAAAATCTGCAAATGTAGAGCTGTGTAGATTTTGCTGCAGAGTATTTCAAAATTATTATTTGTCCTCTTCCTGGCAGACTGTCTTTTTAAGAAATAATAGGCTGAGCTCTCTTGAATGAACAAGAGATGGTAGAATGGCTTTGGCACATAGAGAAGCACGTTAATTACTTTAAGTTCCCAAAGCTTTATCACTGACCTCATAGTTCCTTTGGCGCACTCTGCACTCTGCTCTCAGGAGTGCACAGGCACAGTGGAATAGCAAGCCCTTTTCCCCCAACCTTCCAGTGGCTGTAACAATAGATTGATGAAATACTGCGTACTTTCAATGCTGTCCAGAAAGTGGGACATTCTTTCATGAAAACACATATTAGTAGAACTTGGATGTCAGTTTTAAAGAGCCCACTCTGCCTTCGGTGTCTGCAAAAATAAACAGATCTCAAACAGGATGAAGCATACTCCCCTTCCCACAGACAGCGTTAATATCCACACATCCTTCTATCTTCAGAGTGAAGGACAGACAGCTATCAACCGTACTCTTTCCCCTCATTCCCTTTCCATCACAAACAATGTTTTTCAAAAAAAAAGTCTAGCAAGGCTTTATCCTATCAGGGTCTTTGTTGCTTTTGAAAATGATTATCGTTTCTTGGGCATTCAGAAAGAAGCATCAAAAGCCAAAACCACTTTTGACAGTTCTCACTGGAATAAAAGAGATAGGACACCATTCTCTACATTTTCATCCTCAAAAATGATCTCTTATGAAAGAAAATGATACAATTTTTAAGGGGCTGTGATTTTTCCTCCTTCTCTGAGGTAATCAGCAGTGCTTTTCCAACAGACATTTCATACAAAGTCCGTGTCAAAATCTTCTTGGGGATTCAAGAGAAAAAGTAGATAGCCTTCAGCCCTTTGAACAGCTTAGAGTTATTTAAAAGTCCCTAGAGGTAATATGTGGTTTAAGAATTCAAGCTGTTGAATCAGACAGCCCTGTGTTCAAATCCTGCCCTCACCCTTATTTCTTTCCACGTGTGAGACACACTTCTCTTCAGGAACCTTAGAAATTCCTGCAAAACAAATATAATATTAACAATCATATTCTAGGGTTGCCATGAGGATGAATGGGGTACTTAATCATGTATATAAAGTATTTAGCATGGGAGGCACCTGGGTGGCTCAGTCAGTTAAGCATCCAACTTCAGCTCAGGTCATGATCTCACAGTTCATGAGTTCGAGCCCCACGGCAGGCTCTGTGCTGACAGCCTGGAGCCTGCTTTGGATTCTGGCTCTCCCACTCTCTCTCTGCCCCTCCCTGATCATGCTCTGTCTCTTTCTCTGTCTCTCAAAAATAAATAAAACATTAAAATTTTTTTAGCATGGTATCAGAACCCCAAATAAGTACTGGTAAACACTAATAGTGTTCTTGGTAAACACTAATAAGGAAAACAATTATTACATAAAACAGGTTTTTTTAAGTGGTCTTTGAGAATTGTATTACAGAACTATATTCACAAATTGTAAATATGGACTATGTTTTCATTTTTCTTAATAGGGATTTTAAATTGTATGGCATACAATGTTGGTCTCCTAGAAGCAAAGATATTTTCCGGTCCTTCAAGTGAGCAGTTTGGCTATGCTGTGCAGCAGTTTATAAATCCAAAAGGCAACTGGTAAGAATATTCTCTCTACGGTTTCAATACAAATACTAAATAAATTTAATGTTTGGCTCCAACTGCTTGTTCAAATTGGTACATGAATATGTTATTAATGGATATCTTCAAATATCCTTAAATGAAGGATCTTTCCTTGAGAGTCGATAACTTTCGGATTGATAATTAATGAGATGGTGTAATGGTACTTTTTAAAAACCGAGATGGAAGACTTTCCCCAACTATCCCATAGTAAATTCGTAATATTTCCCTTTCTCTAGTGCATTTGCATTGTTCATTTTTGCCTAAAAGTGCTCCCAATTTTTAATGCTGTGTAATCGTTACATTTAAACCATGGTTACATTTATATCAGCTACCTACCTTCAAGGATATGGAAATATATGCCCCCCCCCCCCCATTGCTGGTTTAAGTTTCCCTTTAAATTTTTTTTTTCAACGTTTATTTATTTTTGGGACAGAGAGAGACAGAGCATGAACGGGGGAGGGCAGAGAGAGAGGGAGACACAGAATCAGAAACAGGCTCCACGCTCTGAGCCATCAGCCCAGAGCCCGACGCGGGGCTCGAACTCACGGACCGCGAGATCGTGACCTGGCTGAAGTCGGACGCTTAACCGACTACGCCACCCAGGCGCCCCTTAAGTTTCCCTTTAAAATAATGAACATCAATGCAGGGGAAATTAGACGATTCTGAAAGTTGTCTTTAGGTAGAAGAACTTTAGCTCCTCCCTTGCCAGTCTTGATGTCCACTGGTCACAAGAGTGCTGCCTTTAGAAACTTATCTTCCTGTTGCTGCAGAAGGTTTCAGACTTACCCTGGATCTTCCCATCTGGATCCTTTAGAGTTCTTTTCAACGACTGAATGGCTATTTTTGGCTTATCAAATAAGAGCTATAATTAATAATCTTTTTTCTGTGTGAGCTTAAGTTCGATGCTCAAAAAATTGAATTCTAAGAAACATTTAGAATCCAAATTATTCACGTTTTGGAGCATGCCTATTTGTGTGATAGGGAAACAAAATGAAATTATCACTCGAGAGGGTACTGTCTCAAAAGACATCTTGGAGGAAGTGAATCATGAGTCTTAAGGGGGTCTTAAGGGGAGGAGATGAATAGTCAGGACGAAAGCATTAACTAATATGAGGAGACTTGGAAAGCAACGTATGTTGTAGTTTGTCAGTCATCCCAAAGGATAATAACGGTCTGGTTGAAAACCCAAAGAGTAGCAATTATTATCATTTGGGATATGAGAGCGCATCTCTAACAGTTATCTTATTATGCTTTGATAACCATATACTGTGGTTAAAGGCTAGACAGATGTTATAGTTGGTATAGTATGACCTTGGAATCTGGCAGATAAATTTGCTGATGACCCGCAATTTTACATATCTAGCCCCGATTCTTCCCTGAGCTGCGGGCACACATAACAAACATCACTACATTAATGCCTAGTAGACATACCAGGCTTAACATATCATACATAAACAAATATCTGATTGTCTGCACCAGCTGATGAGACCAAAAATCCTGACTCCTCTCTTTCTGTCACCATCCCATATCTCATCCATTAACCAGTCCTACTGATGCCACAACCAACATACATGTGATAACAGACCATGGGTTTCCCCCATCATCCCTGCAGTTCTTTCTCAAAGCCAACATGAGCCCTTGCGGGTACTGCGGCAACTGCTTCTCAGCCCACCTGCTGCTTCCCTTCTCACCCCTCGGGGAAGCCTTGTGAACTGTCAAGTACATGATTCAAATAATGTCACTGCCGAGATTAAAACCCTCTGTGGCTTCCTATTGCAATCAGATGACATTAAAATTCCTTAAAGGATCTTCCTTGACCTGGTCTCAGGCTGCCTGTCCTGTCTCACATTTTACCCCCTCACCCTTAAGCCCTATGAATTCTGTCCTTTGTCCCTTGAACACACTAAGCTCATCACTGCTTCAAAGCTTCTGCCCATGCTTTTTTCCTGGAAGGATCAGTCTTCCCAAGATCTTCACTTGGCTGGTGGGTTCTCATTTTTCAGTCTCCGCTCAAATGTCTCCTCTTTATAGAGACCTTTCAGAGCATGACTACATACATGAGCACTTCAGCTCACCTCCCAGCCACTCTCCCACCTTCCATGCAGATTTCTTTTCTGTATAGTAGTTATTGCTATCTGAAATCACCTTTACATGTTTATACTCCCATTGTCTCTCTTCTGCCCTGTCTCTGAGTATAGGCACATTGTTTTTGTTCAATGGCGTGTCCAGAACCCAGAGTGCTATTTGGCACCAAGTAGGGGATCAATAATTGTTTGCTGAATGACTGAATGAAAGTCCCATTTCCAAATTATTCACTTTAGGTTCTCTACAAAGTGAACCATAGTAATTTGACTTAGGTCTGAACTGAACGAGACCTTCGGGGGGACTCTGATGTTCTGCTTCATAAGTATGACCTTGCTGAGGACAATCTGCCATCAAGCTTGAGGTTGTTCTTTTTAAGTGAAAGTTTTTCTGGGACAAGACAAATCTGAGAGAAAGAGACACTATCAGCAGTAGATGCTATTAGAGACAATAAGCTTATGAAGGATTGGAAGGTAACTCAACCACTGGCCCACTACAGGTTGGAAGCTGAACAAGACCAACAGGGAAAAAATGTTGACAGGAATCTAGCAGGCAGAGTCCTGGGAAAGTGAGAAGCAGCCATACCCCCTTTCTCCCTCCACGATTCTCTCTGAGCATACAAAACATTGTTAAAAGACAAGTGTATTAGCAACTTATGGTGAGATTCTGGTGCTGATAGGGTTATGTCCAGACCAAAGACACTAAGCATTCCTAAATCCTACCATGGCCTTCTCATGACATTCCTGAGATATATATAAACACAGGACAATGGCTATTGGGAAACAAGGCACCACTCTATTATTGGCTCAGCTGGTGCTTTTAACTCCAGTGTAGAGCTTTTTGGGAATAAGTAACGGTAGGCTTATCAAGACCTTACTTCCCTCAAGCCTGTCTGAAACCAGCTGGTAAGAGCGTATCCCAGTGCACAAAAAGAGAAGAAGGGAGAGTGCCTGTATTACCTGAGAAGCTAAACCCCGTTGCAGTGCAAAGCTGGAAGGAAAGAGAACAAAAGCTGGCCTGGCATGCCAGTCTGTCCTTCCACTGTTCCGGCCTTGTTGAAGCAGAGAAGCAGAAGAGGCCAAGTAGTGGACATGATCTGCTAATCCACCACAGGCTGGACACTGCGTGAAGTGCCAAGTAGAGAACATCAGAATTACCTTTAAGGAGTGTGGAGTAGAGCCATGGAGAAAGACTGATATGCAGAGCGGGCAGCCATGAGTAATGCCAGAGACGTAATAAGGTCCAACCCCGTATGGTTAATAATGTTGGTGTTCTTTCAGTGACACTGATAGTGTTAACTTACTATTAAGAGCTCGTTTTCTCCTCCCGAAGCCTGAGACACTTGAGGGCAAGATTTGCTCCTGGCCTCTCTCTCATCAGCCTGTCACAGGGGGCAGGGCTGTCACAGGATCCATGTGGTGGTGTTTCCCACTCTAGTGCCCGAGTGGCCCATGGTTAGGACAAGCGCCCTCACAGCACTCAGGCTCAAGGAAAATAATACGAAACTTGGAATCCAGAATTGCCTATTTGTTTTGACGATTGGCACAGTGCCCTTCTCCACTCCTAATTTATGACAACTGCACAGACATTATGGAAGTAGCAGATGTGGAAAGGACTGTTTAAATATTAACTTGCCTCCTGATACTAGTCAAGTTAACTTTGGGCACAGAAAGTGGGATTACTGTGAATTCCTTTAATATCTGGGAGTCTTTTTCTCCTAGACTTATATAACACACACACACACAAAACACACACACACATACACACATACATCCCTTTATTTTCTTTACTCTCTTACTGCTTGTTCTGAAGCTGCTGTTTGGGTAGTTTCTCCTCCTCTTTCCTTGACTTTCTTTACAATCTGTATTGTTGAGCCCCATCTCTGTCTCTCAGCCCTTTCCTTCCTTCTGACAACTCACATAAGGCTCTAGTCTGAGTTTTCTTAAATCACACTCCTTGTTTTTCAAATACAACCTCAGCTTCCACATGGCTCATGTTCCTAGGAATTTATAGGCATATTTTACATTGGGATGTACAAGATCTTAACAAAATGGTCTTGATGCTTTTCTAGTTTTATTTATTATACTTTTACTACACTGTGGCTTTTTCTCTAGAAATAGTGGTCATGTGGCTTTGAAAATTCTAGAGCTTTTTGAACAGTCTCAAAAAAGCTGGATCGTTTGACAAGCAAGATTACCTCCCAAGCAGAGCAAGGGAGCACCCCTGTGTCTGGAAGTAAAACTGTGGTCTGCTGTCCCTTCAGTGGCACATTGAGGCCCTCATCATACACACAGGATGTTTAAATGTGGATGATGCAATTTTTATCAGAAGCAATTATACAAAGGATTGAGATATGTTTAAAATCATTTCCTGGAAGCTTGTGGTGATATGCACTGTCTCTGTTTGTCTAATCTGAAGGCCTGTCGCATGAACAGTCTGAGCTCATTTTATGACTCAAAAATCTTAGAACCCTACAGCCATTTGTGTAACGAGAACTGTCTGGGAACGAAGGGGTATTTCCAGTGGGAGAGATGTATTCTCTTGTGTCAGCAAGGACTAGTACGTGCTTGTTCCTTAAGAAGAGAAATATAATGAACATGTGCCATGGCCAATAAAAAACTCCATTTATGTATGAACTTATATTATAGTTCTAACATTATAATTAAGAAAAATATTAATAAAGCTCTATGTGTGTTATAAGTACGTGGATAATACTTGTCTATAAGACATATGGAAGAGGATTTCAGATAAGTAATAAGAAACATTGAATTCTATAACAGATGTCAAAGATTACGCTGTATGTATGTTGGTAATAACAGTACTTGGTATTTACTGGTATTTACAGTATTGAAAAGTACTGAGTACTCTTTCTTTGCCAGACACATAATACAGTC